TTTTTCTTAAAACTGATATTTATTTATCTTATTTAGTTGTCTTAACAGTTTTTAGCAGTTTAATTTATTCTAGAATACAAACTTAAGTTGTTCTTAATAAATTTTCCAAGTCATTAGTATAGATTTTCTTTTGAACTCTTATTTTCATTAGAAGTTGCTCTGTAACTTAATGATATACACATAAAACAGTTTGCATGTTCCCTGCCCCCCTTAAAGAAGAGTACTATAGTCTTCCACTCTTGTGCTTTCTACTTTTTGGTAATGATAGAGACCTACTGAAGACAAAATCTGGAATAATTTTTACTGCTAAAGGGAACTGATAGTATTAGGGAGAAAAATTCAGTATTACACCCAAAGTGCTAAAAGCTTGATAGATATAACTTTAAAATTGCTTCTACTCACATAACTGTTTAGATTTTATTTAGGGTTAATAGAAAGGAGGTCTTGCACTTAACAAACAAGCTAAGGAATAACAGGATGTAATGATCTAAAGTATAATTTTTAAATCACTGTAAAGACTTATATGCCCCTTAGCTAATGTTATAATTGTATCATATTACTTAGGTTCAAATTCTTTCTCCAAAGACTCATCAGAATAACATGGACTGAGGAGACGTTCGAACACTTGCCATCTCTTGCTGCTGAATATCGATCATAATTTTTTTTTTTTTGCATCAAGCCATTTTTTTCCTAAGTTCATTTTGTGGACTATTACAAAGACTTTCATGCTTCTTCTCCAAATCTTCCATACTCTTTATGTACTGCTCGTATAACTGTTTGATGGTATCAGTCTCTGGCTCTGAATAATACTAAATTGTTGAAAATTCTTTTGTTGCTCTCAAAACATATTAACTACTTTTTCGTCATGTCACTCAGCTTTCTGTACATCTATATGCCACTGCTGAAACATAGTAAGAAACTTCTGAGAATACTCTTGGTTAAGTTCTTCCTTTGCTCTTATTTTGTTTTCCAAATATTTTCAATTTTCTGGTTCCTGTTTTTGAGGGAAGTCTCAGTATACATTTCTAATCTTTTTCTCTTTGCAAGAAGAATCCTTTTAATTTCAGCTCCAAATCTTTCCAGCATAGTCTGTGCTTCACCCCTCACATCTTCCTCAACTAGTCTTATAGAAGACCTTTTCTTCCCACATTTAACAATTACTGGAGTCTTTCTTGAAGCTTGAGCTTCACCTCCTTGACACTCCAAAGACTCCACGGGCTTCGCGCAGGAATAAGTGAATAATTCTTGAGGAGCAGAGCCAGGGCTGGAATTCAGCCCACATTCAGAGCTCAGGGAGGGGCCTTGGTGTGGTGCCCACACTACACAATTCTAAATTGTGGCATTGTCCATGAAGATGAAAAGTGCTGACAATAGGATCATTAGCAGAGAATAGAAAGGCACAGCTCTGTGGGCTTCAAGCCATTTGCTAAGTAACCAGTAGAGGGAAGAAGAAATAACAAGGAATGGCATAATCCTGGCACTCAGCTTAAAGATGCATCAGCAAAAGTATTTTAGACTTACAAGAAAAGCAGGTCTACTGGGCATGAATTTCTGTTCACAGCCACCTATGGGTAACTATCTAGTGTGCACATTTTTATATGCCAATACATTGATTTAAATGGGGAAATTATGGTCATGCATAGAGTTTGGTTGAGTTTCTAGGTGTTAGCTGCAAGACCACTTCTTCCTTATATAAATTTTGATCAATCCTAAGAGGATCTTATGTGGGCAAATGACATCCTTAATGTGAACAGTATTTAAGAGACTGAAGGTTGGGCAATCCTACTTCCCTAATGATACTGCCTCGGAAACCCAAGGAGGGGTCACTATGAGTCGGGGCCAACTCGACGGCAAACAACAACAACAACATTTGTTAAATAATGTTCTGATGCAATCTGTGGAGGAAGATGGAGGTGTAGACGTAACTTAACACAGCTTGTATTATTGTTACTGGGTTCTGTCAAGTTGTTTCTGACTCATATTGACCTCATGTACAGGACAGAACCTCCTCACAGAATTTTCTAGGCTATAATCTTTATAGAAGCAGATCACAAGGTCTTTCTCCTGTAGAGTGACTTGGTGAATTCAACCACCAACCTTTCGGTTAGTAACTCAGAGCTTAACCAGTGAGCTGACAGGACTCCTTTGACACAGGCTATAAGTAGAGAAATTCTTAGGAAAAAAAAAAAAAAGGAAGAATAAGCTCACCATGCATCAATTGATTCAGCAAAATCACTTAGGAAGAGCAATTTGGGAAATAAAAGAACTAATCTTATATTTTGAATGCACCAAATGAATAACCCATTTTAATTGATTATGATCATGTACTTTCTTTTCAGAGCATGAAAAAGAAAAGGTATTATAAAATATAAAGTTCAAATACCATTTTAAGCATAGCAACATATTTTTCACATGCACATACATTAATTATATGCTTGAGTTGAAAGTCATTGAAATAATAAGACCTAGCAACGCTATGTTTTTAAATAAAAGGTCAGCATTTCTCCCAGTACCACAGTCCACATGCTATGAAATTAAACTGTTCACTATAGAACTAAAAAAATAAAAGGCACAATGTCTTTATTTTTAAAGAATTCAAATACTAATACAATGTGATTGTGATTAAGTGAAATTATCTTTAAATAAAACTAAAAGATGCATAATATTATCAAGATTTGGAATCTACTATGAGAAATACAAAATTAGAGACTACTTTACAACACGTATGTCTGATACATCTTTTGACTTGATCTATACAATTGATGAGAATATCTTGAAATATTCCTTCATGATATCCTCCCAGATGAGAAAGATAATAGAGAAGCAAAATTCATCATTCAGAAACGTTATTTATGAATTAATAAGTCTCATTGTTTTGCATTAAGTAATTATTTTTAATATCAAGACATTTTCCATCTTTGTATTTGCAGTGTTAAAGTTGAGAAAATTCAGTCTGTAATATGAATGCACATATATATTCACTTGCAAACACAAGTGTGTGTGTGTGTGTGTGCAAGTTGTTGTTAGGTGTGTGGAGTTGATTCCCAGGTACAGGGTCCCTGTACAGCAGAGTAGACCTGCTCTACAGGATTTTCTAGACTGCAGCTTTTACAGGAGAAGATTGCCAAGTCTTTTCGCAAACAGAATCACTGTTGGGTTTTAATGGCTAGGCACTCAGTAGCAGCCAAGCTATTAACCACTGTACCATCAGGGCTACTGTATGTGTATGTTGTGTGGCACTGTGTCAATTTCAACTCAAAGTGACCCTATATGACAGAGTAAAACTGCCCTAAAAGATTTCTAGGCTATAATTGTCATGTCTTTTCTCCTATAGAGGGACTGGGTAGACTTGAACCACCAACATTTTGGCTAGCAGCTGAATGCTTGACCATTATGCCACCAAGACTCTGTTTCTTTGTGTGTGTGTGTGAGTTTTTAATTTTTCAGGTAATCTTATCACTATTGCAGAGCTGAGTGTCCATGATCTGTTGCTATTTCCCTCCAGTCTTCCTATTGAATTCCTTATAGTACAGGTCTCTTAATGATGGAATCTGTCATTGTTTATCTAAAACATATTTTATTTATATTCACTTTTGAAGGATAGTTTCTGTAGATACAGAAATATGGATTGACAGATTTTTTTTTTTTTTTGCTTTAGAAATTTTCAACCCTTTTGGAAATTTAAAGAAACTATCCCATTGTCTTCTAGATTCCAGTGTTTTTAATAGGAAGAACATTGTCTTTTGGATCCTTAGGTCCATATGTAATTTCACATTATATACACATTGATGGACAGAAAAAAATAGAAAATATTTAGCATTGTAAGTTAAACCTTGATTAACTATAATGCAGATGAATTTATATATTATTTATATATATATATTTGTGCAATTCAATTCAATTCAAGCAAAAGAGATAGATAACCATAAAAGGAATACAAATTAGAGGATTTGTCTAACAACACTGAAAAAAGTCAGGTCCCTATGTTTTGCTCATGTTGTTGTTTTTGTTGTTATGTGCCGTCGAGTCGGCCCTGACTCATAGCAACCCCTCCTTGGGTTTCCGAGGCAGTATCACTACGGAAGTAGGATTGCCCAACTTTCCTTCCGAGGAGTGGCTGGTGGGTTTGAACCACCAGCCTTCTGGTTAGCAGTCAAGTGCCTTAGGCACTATGCTACCAGAGATCCTTTGTTTTGATCATATACCATCAAAATTCTTTCATACATTCTGTGTTGTCAATACTAGACAACTGTAACTGTTATTCAAATTAATGGTCTTATTTGGCTGCTTGAGTTTTAATCACCAGTGAAGGATTATATGATGTTCATATAACATGACTATTTCCTGAAATTTTGAAATGGAATATTGGGGGAGAGAGAAAGAATCTGTAAAGAAAAAGTAACAACAAATTCAAGGTAATGGCTACATCTGGGTAAAAAAAGGAAGAGGAGTAATAAATTTGCAGAGGATCATCAAACACATTGATATTGTTTATTTCTTAAGTTCATCGGTGAATACACAAATGCTTGTTTTATCGGTATTCTTTAAAGTGTAAATACACGGTTTATGGTCAATTTCATAGATGCATACATATACACGTACACAGATGATAGAGATGTTACACATTTTATTATGAAAAATGAATAAATATTCTACATTTTAATATGTATTATCAGAGAAGTTTGAAATGATTTTCTGTCAATATTCAGGTAAATCAGAAAAAATAATTCTTTCCCTGAATACTATCATTCATTATCCTGAACATGAATATGCAGAAGACTGAGAAAACATTAACAAATGATTTGTTGTTTAGTACACACTTATGTGTTTTTCTCACCTTAGCAGGGGCATATATGATCCTAGTCGGGGAGA